TTAAGCATTTTAAACTATACTGTCATTAAAAAGCTGCCTTACACGTACTTGTAAAGAATGTTTTTAGAATTCTGACATCACCTTTTTTCTGCCATATTTGTAACCATCAAAAGATCCCTCTTCAAAATCTGCAGGTGAAATGTGGACTGAATCTTTCTCCAAATCTTCTTCTGAAGTTTCATCTTGTATAAAAATTTTCTCCACAACAGTCTTTGCCACATCTTTAGAACATTCCAACAGTCCTGGTTTAATCTCACCAATGGACTGCCAGTTCCTTGCAGCTTGGTCAACATCAATTTCACACTTTGAAGGATCTACTTCAATCCCCTCAGTGCTCTGTTCTTCAGAGTCAAATGGAAGGCCTAGGAGACTCTTCTTTAAACTGGTTTTACCAGCTCGATCCTGACCAATGAGTAATATTCTACTGCGGTAAACTGTGACATATCCATCTTTCAAAGCCCTTTCATAAGCCAGCTGTACTTTGCGTTGATCTGCTATTTGGTCTTATTAGAGAGTTTTCACAACACAAAGAAAAAAGAAATTTCTGCACTGAAAAATTTGTACAAAATAATTGAAAAAAAAGCAAAGTTAAAAGTTTACAAATCAACTACTATAAATATCCAACATGAATAATGTTGGAGTTAAAGGCTGGTATATAAAAACTAAACCATCACAAATTTTTTTTTCTGATATTAATGCATTAGTGAGTTTGGAAAACACATTTATTCCACTCTCACATAAAAATTACACAGTCAATCAAAATAATTCTCCTGGCATAAAATGTAGTGATGAGTTTGGTGAACATGCACACCAAAACTAAACTGACTCAATGTTTTATAACATTAAGAATTAGAACCACTTGTGACTGATCACACAAGAGAGAGGCAATGACTTAAATCAATTCTTCTAAGTAGTGAGGAGTCAATAACCAATTAATTGTTGGTAAAAGAGAAAGAAAAAGTGCATATATCCAAAAGGTAACAACTACAAGTGTAAAAAACATTGCACAAAAATCACCAGTGATATGGAAATAACAATCAGAATTTAGTCATGCTAAAAACAAATTCAAGTTCTATTCCTGTAACTTAATTCACAAATTGTATTAGTTTATAAATTTTATTTCATAAGCTACAAGTTATTCAATTTTTGAGCACTTTCATTGAATCAAATAGAAAACAAAAATAAAACAACAATTTCTATCAATGAAATGACTTGGGATACATTTTATCCTTTCTTTATTCCAGTCAAATAGAAAGCAAAACTCAAAACAATGATGCCTAACTGCATAGAATGATTTGTAATAACATTTACTCTCTTGATTCCACATCAAATCATATTTCCTAATTGAGGAACTTAAATTTCAATGTCAGCCAAATTGTTAAAATAAAGCTTTCCAATATAGAACATAAAGTTCCATTACAAGTGTCATGAATTTCTCAAGTGATGCCAACTTTGTTACCACACAAAAACTGACAGTATTTACAGTTTACCTATCGCCAGCTACCTGTAATAATCAGTAACAAGCAGAATAACCACTTGCAAGTCAATCATGAGAACGAATTTAGTAAATGCACATGTCACAACAATAATGAGAACAGAAATTTCCTTTACTCACCTTGGAGATTTGAATATACTCGGGCAATTATTCCTCTATTTTCTAGCTCCACAACACTTCTCATTCCTTCAACTGTAAAAGGATTCCCATTCACATACAACGATTCGAGTTTCTTCAGCTGTTTTATGGCTGGATTTAACACAGTCAATTGGTTGTAACTCAGATCCAGTTTCTCCAGTGCCACCATCTCACCAATAGCATCAGAGATGGTGGTTAGTTTGTTATGTGAGATGTTCAGCCATTTGAGTTTCTTCAGCTGTGTTATAGCTGGACTTAACACAGTCAACTGGTTGTAACTCAGATCCAGTCCCTCCAGTGCCACCATCTCACCAATAGCATCAGAGATGGTGGTTAGTTTGTTATGTGAGATGTTCAGCCATTTGAGTTTCTTCAGCTGTGTCAAACTTGCAGGGAATATGGACAGCTGGTTTCCGCTTACATCAAGCATTGTAATATTATTTCGTTTTCCAACATTTTCAGGTATTGTTTTAAGTTTATTCCGTGACAGGTCAAGTTTCTCCAACTCAGTTAATTTCAGCACCGCTTCAGGCAATTCAAGCAAATCCCACTCTGACAGATTTAAGGTTTTTCTTCCGAAACGATCTGTTACAATCTTACTTCTCAGCTTTTCTTTAGAAATACGGGAATCCATGTCTTGGTAATGTGACTGTCAGAACGAAAAAAACAAGCTGTCATTAAAGGTGAGTAACTTGAACTAACTTTCTTGTGGCATTTATAATAACAATCGAACCAAAAATTGGCAAGAATGAGGTTCATAATTTAACATCTACTGAACCAAGGTAATGATTTATTCCTCGAAATACATTATCTTTGGAAACCATCCACCCTTCAGTGTTCTTTTAAACATTTTGAGTAAAGGACCGGATGCTTATGCGTAAAGGGTCTTGAGTTATTTATTTTCATTAGAAACATTTCAACTTAAATCTAATTGTATAATTTTTGTGTTCATCAACAATTGCTTGAGTTATAAATGTTAACAAAAAGGCAATTATGAACAAGAAAGATATTTGAATTTAAATACACTGAGTTTTCCAAGCTGTTTTTCCAAAAACATACGAATTACTACTTCCATTTCAAAATTAATATCCAACAGGAAAGAAATAATTAGTGCAAATCTATGGTTGGTTTTGTTTTCATGTGATAACCTAAGACAGTTGTAAATAAACCAAAGCATGAATGATTTCTAAGCTGTTGATATCAGACCAAGTTGCTAATTTTTAGACCTGTTGTTTGATTTTATCCTCTGTAAGCTATTTTTACTAGTAATTAACAGAGTGAATTCATCAGAATATGGTCCTAGTTATTTAATAAAGACTGATTGGATAATCTCAGAATGAGAGCTCTTTATTTTGTTTGGTTTTTTTTTTTTTTGCAGTTTGTCTAGCAGTATGATGGTTTTAAGATTACAATTTTCAATTGAAGACATGTTTTGCATGAAATATCATCCAAATCACCCATAGTTGCTGTACTCATTATGTTATGTATTGAATGTTGTTGATGAAATAAAAAAATAACAAAGAGTAGAGAAAACTGGTTTTAATTTCTTATTCATGTTTATCAATAAAAGCTTAACTAAGAAGGGAATGTGACAAGAAAAAGTATATATCAATGAACTGAGGATAGTGATAAAGAACTCAATTGGTACTAAGCAGAAAAATGAGGAATTGAAAAAAGTGTCCATAATTAGAACTGGCCACCTACAAGAGTGTCCATTAGCAGAGAGTTGACTGTAAAATAAATTAAGATCCTTCATTAATTAACAAATCTATCAAGGACTGTCTCCAAATCTTTACAAATTGTGCCTGGTTTCTTGAATATTTAATTTTCAGCAAAATGAATTCAAGCTAAAAATTTTACAACTGCAATCATTAACCAACATCAAAACTCATGTATAACATATTTATTCAACCCTTCACCTTGCATGAGTGACCAATACAGGAATTCTCCTTACAAAATATTAACACAACATCAAGCAGATATTGTAAGTGATATGAACAAAGGAAAATATCAGTTGGAGGATTATTAGATGATCCAATACCAAATTCTCCAAACTTACATCATAAGAATGGTATGGCAAACAGTAAGGAGAATTACTAAAGAGATCTTAGGAGTGAAAGGGTCAAGGGAATGAGAGTGTTTATCTAAGAACAAAATAATTTATGTCCCGAAATGTGCACTGAATGCATTTGTTGTTTTTTCAAACAAACAAGTAATGGTTAAAAAAAACTCAGGGTTGACTTGCAAAAAAAAATCAACAATTTTAAAAACCATGGATCTTTAATATAGGCTACCCTGTCTCAGTGCAATAAAAAAAAATCCTTACTTCCTTTTCAGGGCTCAATAATTTGCAAATATCAGAATTAAAAAATGTTGAGGAAGAAAGACTTTCATCTGAAAATATAACTTTCCATATGTTAATCAAAACTATAACAAAATTCTTCAACATGATTGGTTATCTCCAGCCCAATTTGAGCACCTATAGTGCAGTGTATGTGTCATGCTTGTAATTGGACCATGTTATAGGACCATTATAGGGACAATTATCATGTCATGCCTGTGGAAGGGGACAGAATGTGTGATGTGTGCACACTGTTGTCCTGAATTTTTCCGAGTTAATTGTTGTTGTTGTTGTTTTTTATGAAAATGTATAATGGATGTCTATAGTTTCTTTCTCAGATTTTATTATGTTGTGATTAATTGATAACAGTCGTCTGATTTGTTAATCAAGAGTATTATTACAAACAGAATTGGACAACAGGAAGTCCTGTGAACAACCATAGCAGAAACATGGATGACCATGGTCTATCCATGGTCTTGACACCGGAGTAATTAGCAATTATTGAATGAGGTTGAGCATGATATAAAAAAAAAGAATTAAATAATCGTTTTATTATAAATTTTAGGCATTCAGCTATTTTGAGCATCTCTCTTGGTTTGCAAACTTTTGAGAACACTAAACTGTAAGGTCTTGGAAACTAGGCGGACATTGATCTTGTGAAGATAAATGCAGTATAAGCCTCAGATGTTACACTTTATCATGTTAACTAATCACACACTATTGCATATTGATTGAATGCTCTTGACCAATCAGCTTTTTTATTGTAAATCTTATTTATAATAATCAAAATTAGGATCATGTGTACTATAGGTGGACTCGGTCGACATATCGGGCGACAGTCGACCGATATATCGGTCGACTATCGGTCGACTATCGGTCGACTATCAGTCGACAATCGACCGACTATCGGTCGACTGTCGACCGACTATCGGTCGATAGTCGACCGATGTATCGGCCGACAGTCGACCGATAAATGTGTCGACCGATATAGTCTTAAACCATCGATACTCGACCGATACATGACCGATACATGACCGATACTTGACCGATACATGACCGATACTTGACCGATACATGACCGATACTTGACCGATACATGACCGATACTTGACCGATACATGACCGATACTTGACCGATACATGACCGATACTTGACCGATACTTGACCGATACATGACCGATACTTGACCGATACATGACCGATACTTCACCGGTACTTCACCAATACTTCACCGGTACTTCACCGATACTTCACCGGTACTTCACCGATACTTGACCGACACTTCACCGATACTTGACCGACACTTTACCGATACTTCACTGATACTTGGCCGATAATTCATTGCCCCCCGTTTATTCCACGATAAAAGATATAAAACTCTAATAAGTAATATGATTACCTCATAATTTACATGTAAATTGCGTGTCTGGAATCCAGTTTTAAATTCCTCTTGTGCCGGCCATAGCACGTATCGTCTCCGGCAGCGAATTCCAAGTCCTTACAGCGGCGAAGTAACGAAGAGACCTTAGACCATGTTTTGTACATCTTACTTTAGGTATCAAAGCATATTTGTGCCCCTTTAATTACGATGCGTGTTCTTTACTTGAAATGAATTATCTGTAGTGGTGGGTGTCTTCTTTTGAAAACATCTGTCTATCGTAATTAACATATCTTGGGTGAGACGACCCTTTAATGTGTTTTGTAAACCAATCAAATTGAGCGTTCTTTCTTAATAAAGGGTCTTTGCTATAAATACATGTCCTACCTAAGTGCACGGTCCTTTACCCTCTCTAGTTTTTCAAGTATATTCAACCTATTGACTTTGCCTGTTACTTTTCCGGAGATAGACGTGGTGTGAGAATTAAGGATCTGTGTTCACTTACAACAGATCAAAATTATGAGATCTACAACGCACGATGTTTATTGCGTTGGAGACTTACTACACCCTTTTCAAAGGTTAGGTTATACTGATTTGGTTTTATTATCTGTGCTTTGGAAGCTTATTTCATTGGACAATGAATGGCATTTTAACTTTTTTCCGCCGCCGCTGTCATTATTCTTTAAAAAAAAGTGTCACCGTCTGTCGATAAAGAGCACACAATTCGACTATTTAAAGGGTTAAAAACCTCCAGTTTGAGACATGACGGCAAACGGGACGTCGGTAGAGTGAACTCGCAATACTTCCAGCCGCACTCATAAAGTTTTGATTTCTATTTCATTCTATATCAAGCGCGTGTTTTTAGTAAACGTCAAAACAATTCTAACACTGTTTGTTCCCATTGGACCGCGAGTAAGGAAATTTCATTTTCCGATGATGTAGTCTTCAACGCTGGTGTACTAAATGGTGGTGACGGTTGAAAATGTAGATCGTATTAGGTTCCGTAGCTTTGTAAATCCACTTTATAGGGATACAACTGTTTCGAGATATTTGTCCGACAAAATAGAGCAAAACAATGGCTGTGTGCAAGTGTTTTAAAAAACATTGGTTAATTTCCTTTCTGTCCTCCGTAATACAAGATGTATACTGGTAACTACAGTTTGTCATCAAAAAAAAAATTACATTCCAAAACTCAAATGGGAAATGGTTTTTGATCGCATGCATTTTAGCGAAAGCTTAATTGACTTTCTTTCCTTTGATTTGTAAAAACAAAGTAAAATGCGAGAAATTGGACCTTTCTCGGAAACCTTCGATTTTTTTTTTACTGCTCGGTGTATTCATTGGTTCAAATGATATAGATATAGAATGTAAACCGCGAAGCACCCGTAATATAAATTATAATTTTTTTTAAATAAATATTTGGGTGCTGGAAGAAGGCAATACTGCCGATACAATAAATCCCCCTGGGTTACTACCCTTTTAAGGGAAATTTGGGAGTCCTCACGGGGCAAAGAAAATTTGACCAAGTGGGGATTGAAGCCACGACCTCCGAATTAGATCTACCGACTGAGCTACGAGACCAGCACGAGAGCAGGTCGGGGTAAATTAGATAGTCAATCGCGATAAATGAGCAAATGATACCATATGTACAAAACGGGGTAGTGTGGGGAGAAATTAGCATTTGAGGGTGTGTTTGCGTGTGCTTCGTGTGAGCCTATTGCTGCATAAAATGGAAATAACATAAATTAATAATAAGAAATACAATGAAAATAAAAGAAATGAGAAATAATGAAATAATTATAAAAAAATAATAAAATAATACATATCTCGTTTCGCCCCAGGAGTCTTTGTGTGGGTAGTTATTTGAAGTTGCCCAACCCCCTACCCACGGGAAAAACTGAAAACTTCAAACAT